TTTGTAGAACTTCATGTGCTTAACTCCAGAATGGTTTGGAATGTATTGAATATCATCTAATTGATGCAATTTGATGATGTGCATATTGTCAAAAGGCTATCTTGAGCTGCTCGAACTCGTGCAGATTTTCAGAACATTGTTCAAGACTTCATTGAGGCTGTAAAACTTGAAGATCTCAACTCCAGAATGGTTTGGAAAGCATTACATATATAATTGCTGCAATTCGATGATGTGCATATTGTGAAAAGGCTATCTTGAGCTTCAAGTACTAATGCTGATTTTCAGGACATTGTTCAAGATTTCATTGTCGCTGTAGATCTTCAATATCTCAACTCCAGAATGGTTTGGAAAGCATTGAATATCTTCTTCATACAATTAGATGAAATCCAGGATGTCAAAAAGCTATCTTGAGCTTCACAAACTCATGCGGATTTTCAAGACATTGTTCAAGACTTCAATGAGCCTGTGAAACTGCAGGATCTAAATTCCAGAATGGTTTTGATTGCATTATATATGCTATTGATACAATGTGATGATATGAATGTTGTCAAAAGGCTCTCTTGAGCTTCAAGGACTATTGCTGATTTTCAGGACATTGTTCAAGACTTCATTGAGGCTGTAGATCTTCAATATCTCAACTCCAGAATGGTTTGGAAAGCATTGAATATCTTCTTCATACAATTAGATGAAATCCAGGATGTCAAAAAGCTATCTTGAGCTTCACAAACTCATGCGGATTTTCAAGACATTGTTCAAGACTTCAATGAGCCTGTGAAACTGCAGGATCTAAATTCCAGAATGGTTTGGATTGCATTATATATACTATTGATACAACTTGATGATGTGAATGTTGTCAAAAGGCTCTCTTGAGCTTCCTGGACTCATGCAGATTTTCATTGCATTGTTCAAGACTTTCATTGAGTCTGTAGAATTTCAAGATCTGAACTCCAGAATGGTTTGAAAAGCAGTGAATGTCTTATTAATACAATTAGATGAAATCCAGGTTGTCAGAAGGCTATTTTGAGCTTCAAAAACTCATGCAGACTTTCAAGACATTTTTCAAGACTTCATCGAGCCTGTGAAAGTACAGGATCTAAATTCCAGAATGGTTTGGATTGCATTATATATACTATTGATACAACTTGATGATGTGCATATTGTCAAAAGGCTATCTTGAGCTTCAAGTACTAATGCTGATTTTCAGGACATTGTTCAAGACTTCATTGAAGCTATAGATCTTCAATATCTCAACTCCAGAATGGTTTGGAAAGCATTGAATATCTTATGAATACAATTAGATGAAATCCAGGTTGTCAAAAGGCTATTTTGAGCTTCAAAAACTCATGTAGATTTTCAAGACATTGTTCAAGACTTTATTGACCCTGTGGAACTGCTAGATTTAAATTTCAGAATGGTTTGGATTGCATTATATATACTATTGATACAACTTGATGATGTGAATGTTTTCAAAAGGCTCTCTTGAGCTTCCTGGACTCATGCAGATTTTCATTGCATTGTTCAAGACTTTCATTGAGTCTGTAGAATTTCAAGATCTGAACTCCAGAATGGTTTGGAAAGCATTAAATATCTTAATGATACCATTTCATGATGTGCATGTTGTCAAGACGCATTCTTGAGCTTCACCGACTCGTACAGATTTTCAGGACATTGAACAAGACAACATTCAGCCGGCAGATCTTAAAGATCCAAGCTCCAGAATGGTTTGGAGAGCATTAAATATCTGATTAAAAACATTCGCTGAACTATTCCATGTTGTTTAAAGGCTCTCTTGAGCTTCATGGGTTCATGACATTGTTAAAGACTTTCATTGAGTTTATAGAAATTCAAGTTCTTAACTCCAATATCATATTCATACAATTCTACGAAGTGCATGTTGTCAAGAGGCTTTCTTAAGCTTCACGGACTCGTTCACATTTTCAGGACATTGTTGAAGACTTCATTGAGCCTGTAGAACTAAAAGATCTCAACTCTAAAATGGTTTGGAAAGCATTCACTTCTTAGAACTGATGCTGACGTTCGTTCAATAAATTTAAGGTGACTCTTAATTCATGTGCTCGATTTAAGTAGATATGTTAGTGTTTCTCACCTGCAACACCATCTTTGGCAAGTTACGTTGTTGCTATTTTTTGCATAGTATGTCGAGAATAAAACCAACTAGAAAATTTCAAACCAGTAAATATATTTTGCCAAGGCATCGCACGTCAAAGCACGGGAGCTCATTTTTCGTGCGAGGTGTAGTTCACTGGAATTCTTTACTCAATGGTCTAACTAATGTTAATTCGTTAACAGCATTTAAAAGAGGATGTGTTGTTTAGTTAGTGTTACGTATCAATTAATTTTGTAATATGCTTGTGGCGCATGTTCTACTTTTAAATAATCGATTTAACAGAAGAAAGACATAAGTCTTAAGTGACAAAATACAAGTCAAAAAATAAATAAATACAATTCGATCCTTTGAACTTATGTTTTTGTATAACTTCTGCATGAAGTCAACAATTTGCATAGTTGAAGATGCTAATTAAAAAATAAACGACTATAGTGGTAATTTTTATACGATAGATGAGGAGATGAAAGTATAGAGTTAATAGTTCCGTTAGAGTACGGCAGTGTGACAATTGTACATAGAGAGTAGAAAGCGAGCAAGGACAACTTTTTAGGAAGGTACAAATCGGTTTGATCATCTCTCTTTACCAAACTCCCTCGTTGAAGAGGGATTGATTGAGATTCTACTCTCTATATACAATTTTCACACTGCCGTACTCAAACGGAACTATCAAGTCTATACTTTCATCTCCTCATCTATCGTATAAAAATTACTACTTTAGTCGGTTATTTGAAATTAGCATCTTCAACTATACAATTCGATGTTGAGCATGTTGTCAAAAGACTCTATGGAGCTTCACGGACTCATGTAGATTTTCAGGACTTTGCTCATGAGCCTTCATGAGCCTGTAGATTTACAAAATCTAAACACCATAATGGTTTGGAGAGCATTGAATATGTTATTGGTAGAAATCGATTATGTGCATATTGTCAAGAGGCTCTCTTGAGCTTTACGGACGCATACAGATTTTCAAGACATTGTTCAAGACTTCATTGAACCTATAGAACTTCAAGATCTAAGCTCCAGAATGGTTTGAAAAGCATTCAATATCTTATAGATACCATTTAATAATGTGCATGTTATCAAGCGACTATCTTGAGCTGCACGAAAACACAAAGATGTTTAGGGATTGGTTCAAGACTTCATTGAGCTTGTAGATCTAGTAGATCTTAACTTTAGGCTACTTTGGAGAGCAATAAATATCTGAATGGTACCATTCCATGATGTGCATGTTGCCAGGAGGCTCTTTTGAGCTTCATGGACTCATAAAGGTTTTCAAAACATTGTTCAAGACTTCATTGAGCCTGTAGATTTTCAAGATCTTAACTTCAGAATGGTTTGGAATGCATAACATATCTTATTCGCACCATTTCATGATGTGCATACTGTTAAGAGGTTCTCTTGAGCTTCATGGGCTCATACACAAACTCAATGAAAGTCTTGAACAATGTAATGAAAATCTGTACGAGTTCGTGAAGCTCAAGAGAGCCTCTTGATAACATGCACATTATGGATTGGTATCAATACGATTTTAAATACTCTCCAAACTATTCTGGAGCTAATATCTTGAAGTTCTTATAAGTCTTGAATAATGTACCGAAAATATGTATGAGTCCACGAAGCTCAAAAGAGCCTCTTGACAACATGCACATCATGAAATGGTATCTATAAGATATTTAAAGCTTTCCAAACCATTCTGGAGGAGTTCAGATCTTGCAGTTCTACAGAATCAAGGAAAGTCTTGAACAATGTAATGAAAATGAAGATTTTCAGGACATTGTTCAAGCCTATATTGAACCGGTAGAACTTCAAGATCTTAGTTTCTATGAATAAACGTTGGAAATGTGCGTTTCAAACGTCAATTGAGTCTATAGATCTTCAAAATCTTAATTCCAGGACATTTTGAAGAACCCAGAAGACTTCCGAATGTCAAAATGATGCTTAATGATCAATGTAGGCACCAATGCAGAACTTGTCAAATAATGCAGAATAAGCAAGACCATATTTTTGGCCACCTATGGAGATTTCCCATAGTGCATTGCTCAGAGGAGAGGGAGCTTCAATTAAGCAATGAACTCTGTAGCACTTTGTTGTTGTCGCTCGCTTGCTGTCGTAGTTCGTCGTTCGTGATTGTGTTTTGTTATCGTCCGCTGGGAGGTGTCGCTGAAATCCGTCGTTGATACGTCAAGGTGTGGGAGGTGCGGGAACATTAATTCTTGCTACAAGAAAGCATGCTGCTATGTATCGCTTGTGGAGATCAAAATGAAGGGTTCCAAAATCAGCAGTTCGCAATGGGCTCATCTTCTAGTGATATCCAGCAGCAAGGATTTGTCATCCATGAATAAAAACTGAATTCGCCCGTACAAGTGCTGTTCTGTGCTCATTCGCAGCAACAATTTCTCTATTCTGACTCGTCGTCCTTCAGCGAAAACAAAGGAAATCTTGAAACAATGAACACCATGCCAGGCAAATGGTGTCGCTCTTCTCTCCAAATGAAAAGTGCTTCCCTTCCACACTGCTCGCTCCCTTCCACCGCGCTGCCAATTCTGTGTAGGTACATAGTTAGCAATAGAACTTTTGAAAGCCCTTCGATTCGCTCCAGCAAAACACTAAGAGCAATGACTTTCCCACTGCCCTTTCCCCCACAAGCTAGCAATTTATTTGGCCTCTTCAGTCGAAACTTTCACACCTGAATTGTCACCACCTCTTCAAGTTTCTGTGTCACACCGACGAGGACCTAATGATGAACCTTTTCTTGGAGCAACCGAAAGTTCCTTCTAATCAGTCAGGTTCCAATTCTTCCGTGTCCCTTCCCAACCGACGCCGAGGAAGGGGGCTAAAGTTTTCAAGGACTCTGGAGAAAATTTTCACTTACCGCCACTCGCCACGCAGGTAAAGTTCACCGAGGACCCTTCGTTGTACGGCCCCAGGATGTAGTGCGGAATGCTCTGACCGCTGGCATCTATGATTTGCAGCTTCTCCGGTGGGACTGAGGATGAGAATAAGAAGAAGAACGAAATAGATACAAGTTAGAAATTGATGAAAACTGGTTTACCCCGGTCGATGGGGAAGTGCTATGAATATTCCAAAGGTTTTTGATTGAGATTCTGTGTTGTCATCGTTTCGGTGAAATGATTTAATTCTATGTGGGAAGATGATCCAGCTTCTATATATATATATATATATATATTTCTGACTCAAAACGACCACCCCAAATGAAGTTCTTTTAAATCCCTTTCGAAATTACTTTAAGTGCTGTCGACGACATGAATTTGCGCCATTACCACGCCACTGCTGACTGGTCCAGATCGCACAAAAGTTCATTTATCATGTCACCAACCAGCCAGCCAGCCAGCCAGTAGTGGTGGCGGCGTGACTCTTTTGTGCATTTTGCTGCCCACAGCGGGAACTTACAGTGACACAGCAGAAGAAGCACGCTGGTAGCGACCACGACTTGGATTCATCGTTCCCCCCCTCCCCCACCCACCGAGATCTGGAAACAATTATTTGTGTTTGTTTCCGGTATTTAAACATGGCCAAAAACCCGAACTGAGCGAACATAATTCCCGCCCGAATAAATGTCAACCGTTGCTGGGTGGACGGGCAGCTGGCATTCCGTTCCTCGCTTTTGCTCAGGGCGCGCATTCCTCGGATGATGAAGGATGCATAGCGGCCGGGAGAGATAGCTTAGGTCATGTCCCAATAGGATGGGACCCGTCGGTTCACTCGGTGCGGGGACACATTCCGTTTTGGGTATATTTTTTTATTTTGCTGAGATGACTTTCTACAAAATATGAACAGGACAGGGACGCTGCAGTTTTTGGATCCTTTGGAGGTCGTCCTTTGGTGAGGATCTTCATGTTTATTAATGTGGCATGTTGTCGATGGGTGCTGCCTCGTGGGTGGTTGTGGGCTTAAGTTGCAATCGGTTGGGAAGCTGGTGGTTATTTATTATACTGCAGTGCAGCGCAGTTTTCAAGTGACAGAAGCTGGAGCCATTACGAAAATGTCGGCAAGTGTCACTTAGTGGAATTGGTTCACAGAAGTGAAGACAAATGGGGAAAATATTTGATGAGGCGAAACATTCTAGGAGTATGTTTTGTTTTTCGTCCATTGCGGTGGGCAATGTTGTCAATCCAACAATATAGCAAGGTGAGTGGCATTGATGCGGTTATCAGAGGCCGGTGAAATTCTTGGCCAACCCGAGTGTCTGTCCACCATAGAGATGTGACTGAAATAGCATCTGACATTCACTCCATTAGAAATACTAGCGTGCACAGGTATCTTGTTAAGGAGGGGCATTTTTTTTGGTTCATTTAATCTGGGGATGGGGAGTACTCCAAAGTGCGTGGGAGATGGTGTTGTCCACCCACCACTGTTTCCCTACGGCTTAATTTAACTAATTTTAATTATTTTTTGCTCTGGTGGTGGTTCATTTTCTTCAATGCAACCTGCTTTCAGACAGCCAATGCAAATTGGCAATTTAATCCCATCGGCGATGTCGATGATGAACCGTCCCAAAGTACCGCCAGTTGGGGGTGACAGATAATGATGCCGAACATTCAACATGTTTTAAAGATGATGTAAAGGACAAACCCGAATTTATTGCAACGCACATAAATAGCTGTATCATTTTAACCAAGGTAACAAATGACTTGAAATTTTTTAGTAAGACAACAATAGAGCAAGGTTCAATGGCAAACTAATACCCACTTTTGAATTAGGGAATCCAAAAGCTGTCTTTAAACTTTGTACAGTTGCGAAAAAGTCCATCCTCAGAATTCCTTGAGGTTCTTTTCGAATTTTTTGGAACTCTATGAGCCCTTTTGACATTCTTCTCAGAAGTCCTCTAGAATTATTTTTAGAACTCTTCTTGACTTTTACTCAGAACACCTTGGAACTGAAATTCCCTTAGAGTTTCAGAAGAATTTCCGCAAAAAAATTATTCCTGGAATGAGCCAGAATTATCGGTTTTCCCTTGAAATTATCCTCAAAAATTTGGAATTTCACTCAAAATTCAATTTTCTCGGTATCCTTTTCGGAATTATCTTGGAACTATTTGCAGGATTCACTAGAAATTGTACGTAGAATTGTCTTGGAATACTCCCCAGAAATCCTTTGGAACTGTCATCAGAATTCAATATCCTTGAGGTTCTTCTCGGATTTTTTTTTAGAACTTTCCTAAGAGCTCTTTTGAAATTCTTCTTAGAAGTCCACTGGAATTATATTAAGAACTCTTTATGATTTCTTCTCAGAACATCTTGGAACTGTATGAGATAGAAATTATTCTTGGAATTCGCTTGAAATTTTGCTTAAAATTCCTTTGGGATTTCTCTCAAAATTTGATTTTCTCGGTATTCTATTTGAAATTATTTTGGAACTATCTGCAAGATGCACTAGAAATTATCCGTAGAATTTTTTTAGAAATCTCCCAACAAATATTTTAGAAACGTCATAAGAATTAAATATCCTTGATGTTCTTCTCGGAATATTTTAGAACTTTTTTTTTTCACACAACACCTTGGAACTGAAATTCCCCTAAAGTTTCAGAAGAATTTCGTCTGCATTCTCCAGAAATTCGTCCCGTAATGAGCTTGAAATTCCTCACCCCAGCAGGCCTGGGTTCAATCCCAGTCGGCGCCGACGGGATGTTCTAAGGCATAACATCTCTGATCACGCCTTCCTTCGGATGGGAAGTAAAGCCGTTGGTCCCCGGTTCATGAGTTGATGGGTCGATAGGTAGGGTCCAGGTGTGGAAACTGCCTTCCTGGCACGTCGGTAGCATTGGTGCTCAGCACGGAAAACAAGATCGACGGAAAAAACAAACCAAAGGAGCTTGAAATCCCTCGGAATCCCTTTGAAAATTTTCTCAACATCCCTTTGGAATTTCATTCAAAATTTGATTCTCTCGGTATTCTTTCGATATTACTTCGAACTATCTGCAGGATAACTAGAAATTAACTAGATTTCATGGAATCATCCCCGAAAATCTTTTCTTTTAGAACTGTCATCAGAATTCAATACCCTTGAGGTTCTTCTCGGAAGTCAAGTTTAAGTTGCCCGCCCATTCACCAAAACGTAGTAGTTTTTCTACCAGAAATGTTCAATAAACCTTGCCCCTCCATTCACCAGAACTGTGCCTTTTTTACACCAGGAATTTTCAATTCAGCTTGCCTCTCCATGCAGCATATTGTTGCAAATCTTACACCAGAAATTTTTAATACAAACTTGCCCCCATACAATTTTACTCCAGAACAACCATACATTGATCAGAACGATGCAAATATTCCACCGTTAATGTTCAATAAAAATTGCTTCTCCAATCTTCTGATTGGAGCATAATTCCTTTTTCCATTTTCCATCAGACATTTTCAATATAGCTTGCTTCTTCTATCATGAGAATGTTGCAGGTTTTCCACCAGATTTTTCATCATAAATTTTCAGTAAAGCGCTTCCTTCCAATCTTCTGATGATTTACACCACACGCAGAAAAAACGCTCTGTAGTGAATCAACAAAATATTTTGTTGTTTTTTAATACACTGTCTTGGTTTGTTTCTGTTCATAAAAAAGTTTTAAATTAATAGAGCGCTCCATTCACAACAAATATAGAAATTTGATTGAATTGCATCATTAATGCGATTGATTTAAATAAACGATATTTGGTTTGAAACAATTATATTTTTTTCAATCGAAATGGTTATTTTGATTGTTTCAACTGAATATTTTTTTAAGTGCTTGTTCCAAACTGTCAGTCTGCATCGGCATCGTTTGATAAACGGAAGGAAGATCCTCTTGCCTTTGACTCCGTAATTTGCTCTTAAAATGTAAGCTATTATTTTACAAATTGTGCAGATTCTTTAAAATTATTATCAACTTAAGTAATTTAATTAAAATTTCAGCGGGACGTGAACAAATACCAGTAGACACCGGATAGGTAAACCGGATCGAATACCATACGACTGATTGGTGCGGTAAGTAAAAAAAAAAGATTCGACTATACTTAAGAGGTTATTAATTAGTATTGACGGAGGACGGAAGTACATATAAATAGTAGGATTTACGAGTTTGTTTACAAAATAAATATGAGCAAATCAAAATTCACTCTAAAATATTAGCATATGACTTGTCTACAAATTTATTAAAATTTTAGAATTTGGTGATCTATATTTTATATTTCAGAATTTTAAAAGCGATCTTCATTTGATTTTTTTAAAATGAATACTGATGATATTATTGAGGAGGAGGAATAGGAAGTCAAATATGACATGCTAACTGATGAGCAGTTTAAACTTTACCAACTGTTACAATCTTTTGGCATGTCGGATGAAAGCATCCACTTTTTCGTGGGTAAGTATAAAATGCTCTCTCGTTATTTGTTTACCTTCTAATTACGTGCAAATGCTTTTGTAAACGATCAGTTCGTTGATCACTGGTTTATTACGGAATACCAAATAGAAAAGGAATCAAGCTGGTTGTGGTGGTAGTTGGCGAGATTTAGTTTTTATTCACAAGTAATCAGTGACTAGCGCGATTGCTTATAAAACCATGTACTCTTCAATCACACATTATACCCGAATTATTATTAAACTGATAATGACATTATCTATATATGTTTTAATACTATCATTTTCTAAAAGATTTTCAATTCATTTCAGAAAATGGATATTCAATAGATACGTTGAGAATAATACAAAGGCATGAAATAGAAGCCTTACTATTCTCTCCATATTTATCTGATCGAACCAAATGCATCCACGGCCTGAACAAGTGGCGTAAAAATCTGGTATGTTGTCTATTTATATGTTATTTGTCAAATTTTAATTCTACAGTACCGTACTTAGGGTCTACCTCTCATAACAGAACCTCTGCAATCGCTGCATAACAAAACCGCTGCTTTAACTGAAGCATCATCTTCATCAGAAGCTGCACCATCATCTAATGCATCATTGTCATCTACAGCGGCAACGCGAGTGGCTTTCACGGCTCGA